TTCATGTTAATAAATTCATATTATTATTAAATCTACTTTGCTTGTTAAGGTCTGTTATTTTTTATTTCATATCAATGTTTTTATAATTTTTACGAGCGTAAACATTTATTACTTTTTTTTTAATAATCTCAATTAATATATGGAACAAAAAAATAGTATTTTATCGAGGGGTAGGTCACTAGTGGTTATAGTGTACAAAAATTACCCTTGATACGGATTACCTTTAAATTACCTTAGATTACTTAAGATTACCTTAGATTACTTCACATTATCTGAGGCTACCTGAAGGGGCTACATACACCTAGCGGTAGGAAAAATAGGGGGAAATTTGACAATTTTTTTTTCATAAAAAAATTTTTTTTATTAAAAAATCTCTAGCTACATCTTAAAGTAGGTCCTTTAATGTATATTTGGTAAAATTTTTATTAATAAATATTGAAAAATGTGCCGTGGAGATGTCATCTCCTGGAAGCTATTCGACGATGCTGTAACCATTGTAGCTCCTCTAATTTTTATCTGAAATCAAAAACCAAAAAATTTTCTTAAAGTATATAAAAAAAAGGAAGTTTTTGTGATAATTGATTTTTAAAATTTTGATTTTTCGAAAAATGGCAGCCATTTGAATGCAAAGATATGATTTTTAATCTGATACCTTCGCATTCAAATGGCCGCCATTTCTCAAAAAATCAAAATTTTAAAAATCGGCTACGACAAAAACTTCCTTTTTTTTATATACTTTAAGGAAATTTTTTGGTTTTTGATTTCAGATAAAAATTAGAGGAGCTACAATGGTTACAGCATCGTCGAATAGCTTCCAGGAGATGACATCTCCACGGCACATTTTTCAATATTTATTAATAAAAATTTTACCAAATATACATTAAAGGACCTACTTTAAGATGTAGCTAGAGATTTTTTAATAAAAAAAATTTTTTTATGAAAAAAAAATTGTCGAATTTCCCCCTATTTTTCCTACCACTAGGTGTATGTAGCCCCTTAAGGTAGTCTCAGATAATCTGAGGTAATCTAAGGTAATCTTAAGTAATCTGAAGTAATTTAAAGATAATCCGTATATCAAGGGTAATTTAAAGATAATCCGTATATCAAGGGTAATTTTTGTACACTATAACCACTAGTGACCAACCCCTCGTGTCATTTTCGCGATTTTCGCGTGAAATATTATAATAAAACGAGACATAATATTAATGATGTGCTCTTTCTGCAGCAACCGCACTTTTTTTCTTTCTTTTACGACTTCTCGACTATAATCACTGAAACTGTCCGGCATTCAGTTATATATTACTATTATATAAATGATTTTTGTGCAACTAGAAATTCGATACCTAGTGAAGTACACGACCGCAAGCTATAGACTAATATGAATCTAATGCCTTATTATAAAAAATAAAAATTAATAACATTCTGTATAGTAACAGTTTGTATTTTGTTTTTATGTATTTGTACTATTTCTTATTTTGTTTATATCTCAAAGAGTAAAAAATTATAAAATAATTTTCTATCAAATACTGTCAACCATTTTACGGTATCTTAAATTTCTTAAATCATTTATGTACTATTTTAGCGTTATATTATAAACTGAATATTATGAATATTTGAATATTATGAATATTTTGAATATTATGAATATTTTGAATATTATGAATTGAAAAATTGAAGAATAGGTATAATAGAAATAGTTTCGAATTCTTTAAGATGCAAATGAAATAAAAAGTAGTACGTATAAACACGGACACACAATTCTTCATCGCGTATGGCGTTAATAAAATTAAAATATTTTTGATGAGGTCAAAATATTTTATGTTGGGCGCTAGCCATTTTTTAATCATCTTATACTTTTCATCTTTTGTGGTGCAAATAAAGAACGATACAAATAGATACAAACGGACTGGAGACTATATTAAGCAGAAATGTATTTAACTATACATATCGGAATAGGAATACTTTAATAATATAAATGTAGGTGCATATCAGAAGATATATGGAAAATGCATAAGTTTTGTTAGCTTTATTTCATTTCTGTTTTCCTGAAACATTCTTTCAGTATTTTATTAGATGATTTTTCCACCATTTTTTTCTTCAATTTTTAGTGCTTTTCTTCTATCTTCTATCTTTATTTTCAATGCTTGGCTTTTATATTTTCAGTATTATCGATTTTAAATACTATCTATTTTATCATAGAAATAAAAAAGATAATTTATCAATTGTATTTATATTTATTACTATATTTTTTACTATACAAATAATATTATTCGGGCGTGTGGAGTTACACCCATTAAACTAGCCCCCCTCCACCAGTGCTAAATAAGTTCTAACCTAGATTAAAATTATATGTTAATTAGGTTTTAATTAGGTGTCGAAGTTCGAAATTAGGTGGCAGGAAAATTGTTTGGCAGGAAATGTATACTGAGGCTGGGGCGGGGGGGCTGGCTTAACATTAAGCTGGTCCCTCCCATACAAAAAAACAAATAAAATAATTACTAAAAAAACAAATACATAATAATTAAGTGCTAATTAAGTGTTCTCAGAAACCGTTAAGATATATCCAATATAAAATTTTTTTTAACCACTTTACTCTTGTACGGCGGTGGGCGCGATCGACGTTTAAGTTCAAAATTCTGCCAAACAAATCGAGCACTTAAGTTATATTAGATAATTAAGTACTCAATATGTATTCAAAATACTCGTTAATTAATATTATATTAAGATATCTAAACGCCGAATTAAGGGCCCATTCTGTTTGGCAGGATTTCGAATTTAAACGTCAGTCGCGCCTACTGTCGTACAAGAGTAAAGTCCTATTAAATAATTAGGTGCTCGATACTTACTGGTATCAAAATATTCGTTAATTAATATTATGTCGAGATATCTAAACGCCGAATTAAGTGCTCAATCCTTTTGGCAGAATTTCGAATTTAAACGTCGGTCGCGCCCACCGCCATACAAGAGTATAAAGTGGTATAAAAAAATTTTATTTAACTATATATATAATTTTATTTAACGATATATCTTAACGGTTTCTGAGAGCACTTAATTAGCACTTAATTATTATATTGTTTTTAAAATCATTATTTTATTTATGTTTTTTTATATGGGGGGGGGCAGCTTAATGTTAAGCCAGCCCTCTCCCCCCTCCTCCAGTATACATCTAATTTCCTGCCAAACGGTTTGAGTACCTAATTTTGGAGTTCGGCACCTAATTAGCACCTAATTTTAATCTAAGTTAAAACTTATTTAGCGCTGGTGGGGGAGCTAACTTAATGGGGGTCCCTCTATCTTAAAATATTTAATTTAATTTTATGTTCTTTTATCTCTTCTTCTTTTTTGCAAGCCGCTTTGCATTTATTAATACCGAATCTGCATAACGTATAAAAACTTTAGGGTTTTTGTTTAAAGCCTTTTTTTAAACTTTCGGCCTCTGAGATCTCAGAGGTTTGCGGTGTTCTGTTTGCGCCATAATTTTACTGCTTTTAATCCTTATTTATCTTTCCATACAAAATTCTTCCTTTTAGTCTTTGCAATTTCTAGTATATTTCTTCTCTCTTATCTCTCTATCTGATCTTGTTAAATCGTTTTCATACTATTTTTTCTTTCAATCTGTTTTTCTTTTTCATTATCCGTTTCTTACTCTCCCAAATCTTTAATTTAATCAGAATCATACTATTCCCCGCTCCTTTTTTATCTATTCAATTTATATCCTCTATCTCTGTTTCTCTTTTTTCTCTCTGTCTCTGCCGCTGGCGCCGTACAAGAGTAAAGCGGTATAAAAAAATTTTATTTTGGATGTATCTTAACGGTTTCTGAGAGCACTTAATTAGCACTTAATTATTATATTGTTTTTAAAATCATTATTTTATTTATGTTTTTTTATATGGGGGGGGGCAGCTTAATGTTAAGCCAGCCCTCTCCCCCCTCCTCCAGTATACATCTAATTTCCTGCCAAACGGTTTGAGTACCTAATTTTGGAGTTCGGCACCTAATTAGCACCTAATTTTAATCTAAGTTAAAACTTATTTAGCGCTGGTGGGGGAGCTAACTTAATGGGGGTCCCTCTATCTTAAAATATTTAATTTAATTTTATGTTCTTTTATCTCTTCTTCTTTTTTGCAAGCCGCTTTGCATTTATTAATACCGAATCTGCATAACGTATAAAAACTTTAGGGTTTTTGTTTAAAGCCTTTTTTTAAACTTTCGGCCTCTGAGATCTCAGAGGTTTGCGGTGTTCTGTTTGCGCCATAATTTTACTGCTTTTAATCCTTATTTATCTTTCCATACAAAATTCTTCCTTTTAGTCTTTGCAATTTCTAGTATATTTCTTCTCTCTTATCTCTCTATCTGATCTTGTTAAATCGTTTTCATACTATTTTTTCTTTCAATCTGTTTTTCTTTTTCATTATCCGTTTCTTACTCTCCCAAATCTTTAATTTAATCAGAATCATACTATTCCCCGCTCCTTTTTTATCTATTCAATTTATATCCTCTATCTCTGTTTCTCTTTTTTCTCTCTGTCTCTGTCTCTCTGTCTCTGTCTCTCTGTCTGTCTCTCTCTCTCTCTCTCTCTCTTTCTATGATTCAGTTTTTATAATATTTTCTGTTGTACTTTTTACCATTTTTCTAATAGGTATATTCTATTTTTTAATTATTATATTTCCTTTTTTCCTCTCTCTCTTACATCTTTTTTGAATATACCGAAAGGAAAACAAGCTAAATAAGAGCCTAATGCGGTAGGCAGTGCATAAATTATTCTTGAAATCTTTTATTGGAACGAACGTTTCGGTCCTATAATTCGGACCTGTGTCTGTCAATGACACTCAGTGACTCCTTCGACGGATGCTTGTAATCAGCCTGCTTCCGATACCAGCCGTAAAGGACGTATATATTAGGTTCAGGATGATAAAACCATAGTAATTGTGCGTACTACATCCATCAGGTTAGGCACCGCGAGTCGAGGTGAGAGGAGATCCGTCGACTCGCGGTGCTTAACCTGATAGATGTAGTACGCATAATTATTATGGTTTTACCATCCTGCACCCAACATATGCGTCCTTTAATTTTTGACAAGTTCTTCACTATCGGTAAATACATGTGGTCCAAGCGATCAATATCAGTATGAGAACTCTTTCTTATATATAATCTTAACTTTTAAAAATATCAGCTGTAATTCGACATGGAATTTGTCTAAATCTTGATCTCTTACGATCGAGATGCGCGTCTATTCTTATTTTCACTTAACTATCTGCTATCTATCTGTATCGCGTATCGCCGTGATAGTCGAGAGTCAATTAAGGCTCAAGAAAATTCAGAAATTTCGATTTGTTATGCCGATTTGATACTATTATGGATTCTAGTCGTGAATTTTCAACGGACACACGATTGGAGATGCATGAAGGCGCAAAGTTATGTCTGAACAAGGTTGAAATAAATATTTATGTAGCTACTTTGTATTCAGTAATGCGAGATAATCTATTTTTATGAGTTTTGATTATAATTGCAGAGAAGAAGTAATTCATATCTTCTCTCTCTCTCTCTCTCTCTCTCCCTCCCGTCTCCCCCTCTCCCTCTCTCTCCCTCCCTTCCCTCTCATCCCTCTCATTCCTCTCCTACCTCTCTCTCCGTCCCTCTCTCGCTCCCTCCCTCTCGACCCACCCTTTTGACCCTCTCTCTTGCCCCTCC